AAAAATAACTACTTTTTAAAACAAAAGCATTTAGTGAAAAAATACGCCTTGTTATACATTTTGCAAATCGTTTTCATGTCCAGCCTGACTGAAGACAGCTGGATTCTCCTATCTACTTCAGCATTTAATCTGTTGTGAAATACTGTTTCTGAAGTTCACGAAAAGAATTTGGCCTTCCAAGGTTCTATAGTTAGAAAAGGAAAGAGTAATTTATTATCACTGATCTGTGTGTGAAAAAAAATACTGTAACTCAAAAGATAAGAAACTTACACAAAAATGGGGCATGAGATATAAGACACAGAAGTAGCTACACATGAACCAAAAGAATTAAAGGAAACATGAAAGAAATTAAAAGCCTTTTGCTTTGAAGCAGCAAAACTTCAATGACTTAAAAGTGTTTTCTTCTCCGTGAGTCCAATAACATCACTTAGTTTTTCAGTTAAACAGACACACACATACACATTATTACTGCTAATGCTATTTTTAGGTTGAAAAACTTTTACAATACACCAAACATAACGCACATGGAAATGTTCACTATAACTACAGAGAAAAATACAAGTTTTATAAACCTTGACAAATATACAAATAACCTAGCAAAAAACTGGAAATGGAAGGCAGAGTAAACATGCCAATGTTCTCTTTTTTCATATCAAGAAGCCACAGGTAAACTGACAGTAACTTGATAACTTAACCAAGAAATTGAGGTATAAATACATTATGTAAAGTTATAATGATGACCACTAGGGAAAATGAGAACCAGAAACCATTAAGCCATGACTGTCCCAGGAAATGCAAGTGACAGAGGAAGGGAAGAAGATTTATGATTTTATATCATTTTCTGTTGTTTGAATTTTTTTTTTACTGCATGCATTAGTACTGCTATGATAAAAATGCTAATTTACAGCTTAAGGAAAAATTATCACATTATTAGAAATACTTTAAAAACGGAATGGGCTTTCTGGCTGAGAAGAGTTGGTAATCCTGTTAATAACTCCATTTCCTTATACGTGATGGATGGATTCACCAAAGCATGCCTGTGATTTGAATCACATTTTAAATGTATTAGAAGAACAGGATACTTAAAGATCCATGAAGTCTTGTAACTGTGAAATTAATTTCTGCCCTTGAAATTTGTGTATCTTTTTTTAAAAAAAATGTATCTTTTGTTTTTGCTTTTTTTCTTTACTGAAAATTGCCTAAAAGAAAAAAGAAAGTTATTCAAAATGAGTCAGGGATGTCTGTGTTAAGTTTAATTCCATGAGCCCTGGGATTCATGTTAGAGCGAATTTATCATCTGGATCAGAGATAACTGTTTTTGGTGTAGTGAGGGTTTCTAGGCCACCACTGCTTCAAGTTCATCCGTAAGCACCTAAATCCTGTAACTGCTGACAGGGATTGTGCATGGGACTTAACAAGCTGTCTACAGCTTTGGAAAAGAACATAGTAGAATTTTTACAAACAAATGACTTTTACCCCCACTCTCTTTTTCTCTTTCTTTACATCTTTTCATATGGAGAAGAAAACACATCAAAACAAAAACAAAGGTTTTTCTGCTGAGAAATGGTTACACAAAGCATTGTCCTATTAGAAATGCATCGAAGCCATCGAGGTATAGGTAATACCTCAAAAGACTTCTCTTGCCAAGATATTCTAAAGCACACCACCCTCAGCACAACCACCACAGTCTTTTGATTAAGGTATTAAAACTCAGAAGGAAAAACATTTTTTAAAGAACCAAATTACATTACACTTAGGAATGACTGAAGAGTAAAAAGTGATACTGAATTGAATTACACTAAAGTCTCTATATGTCTCAATCTTAACTACAATTACTTGATACTCTTCTTTGAACATAGAACTATCTAGCATTTGAACTGTTATCCTGAAGAGATATGTTTTGGTCAGAGAAAGCAGAAAATGAATGGAAAAATAAATTAAAGTTCAGTTATCCACCCCTATGGAAAACCAGGGTCTTCAATCAGGCCAGGCCAGAGACTAAGCACCACCTAGTGGTACCTTACTCGAATTACAAGAATAGTGCTTAAGAGGCTGGGGTTCTCCTTGCAAATCCCCATCTATTAAATGATGGCAAGGACTGTATTTTTTCCATATCTGGCCATGGGTGAAATATACCTTTCAACAGGAAGAAGATTTAAAGTCCCCTAGTCCATTCATTCACAGCTAGGCAGAATGTATTAATAAGCATGTTTTTATTTTCTATATCTTATGATGTTAATAGCATCTTAAAAATCTTGCTGGCTGAGGAATGACTGACCCCCACCCAGGGTGATAGCAAAGGACCAGCTGGAAGCATGCTTCTCACATGCAAGCCAACCACTGCCAAGTCTATACTCCAAGTCACTCCTTTTATCTAAAATCACACACCAAGCCAGGATTTCCCATCTTAAATCATCCCAGGGCCAGGTGCCAGGCAGAGACCACCTCTGCTGCCCAAAGCCTGCCAGGGCTATTCAGGTCCTAAGATGTTCACTCTGCCCTTCCCTGCCCTTCTCACAGAAACCCCAATAAAGGTGCCAGCTCAGGCTCTCCCCTCACTCCTGTGTCTGCACCTGACCAGAACCTGATGCTTCCCCTGTGGCCATGGCATTCCCCACTTCTCTTGGGAAATGTTAAGTTGTAAATTTTTTCAGTGGCATTGACCTTTCCATGCTGTCACTCATTCACCATAAATGAAGATCCTGTGAGTACAAGTGAAACATAATCCTACTTTATTCATTTCAGGGAAGGATCACTTTCATTCCAGTTTCTAGGACACCAGAAAATGTCTCCATCAAACTTTTTACAAATATGCAGCATTTTTGACTCAGTTGTCATTTTCAGGATTGACCTCCTAGGCTAAGTAACAAATAGGGCTGTAAAACTGCAAGGGGTTAAGACAAAAAGAAAGAGCAGGAAAAATGACAGTGCCCACACAAAAGCCTCAGACTCATTCTGAGAATGGCATCTGTTCTTTCCTCTACCCCAGATTCCAGGACGATAAGCCTCTTTTCTCCTGCCACCTCCAAAAGTTGGCTCTGTCCAGGTACTTTGGTGGCTTTGCAGTGAAGCTGATAGCTTAAACTTCAAGATCCTTCACCCACACTGAATCCCTTTCAAAGATCACGTACAAGATTGTATGTGTAATCTGTATGCTTTTTATTAAGGAGAATCCCTACCAATCATATAAGCCTCATGCCTATGAAAGCTGGGAGGGCAAGAGGAGCCATGGGTGCAGGAACGCCCGATGCGAGACTTTCTCTTCTACCCAACTATTCTGGGCTCTAGTTCCTTATCTATAAAAGGAGAGGGTGACAAGATGTGCTTAAGTTCCCTTTTCATTTCTCCTTAGCTGTATTCATTTCTCTACATACTAATAAAGTAATATGCTATTACTTTGCATGTGGCTTCCAAGGTTCCCTTTGCATATTGACTTTTGAAAGATGCCAAAACAGACCCAAAAAATGTGTAGGAAAACTACAGGTTGGTTCTTAACTGCACACTAGCTAATGAGGGCACAGAAAACAGAAGCAAAAGTTTTGCAGCAAAGCCTCACACTGATGCTCAAAATTGTATTATAACTGTAAGACTGGATGCATTAAGATGAACCCAGAGCTGTATTATGGGGGCAGTAGTCTTGGTGCCTGCCTGGCTCTGCTACTTTTTGCATGTGGCTTTGAACAAGTCATTCAACAACTCTGGGGTTGTTTCTTGACATGCTAAGTATGGGAACTGGGCCAGAGGATCTCTAAGCACTCCTCTGCCTCTTAACATGTTTGCTTCTATCTGCCTCTCTTGCCAGAGCTACCTCCCTGCTCACCAGCACCCCACAATTGGACCAGACTCTCTTCCGTACTCTTCCCACACAAGCACACAAGTAAGCCACTGAATTGAGGAGAGTAACGAGGAGGGGAGGCGGGGGAAAGGGAGGGCAAGCAGTCAGGCAGTGCTGGGGCATAGCATGGGGTCAGCGGTGGGCCACATCCAGGAAGTCAACCAGGCAACACCCACTCCCAGACTTGGGTCAGAGGCCTCGGCCCTAATGGAGTGTACTTGAGGCTTTTTTCTAGAGTGATTAGCTCAGGCCAGCCAGACTTCAGGACAGAGATTCCTAGAAAAGGGTCTTTATGGACCCACTCCTGCTGGAGCTCAAGTCTCTGGAAGAAAGCTAGATGAAGAAGAAGAAAGCTAGTCTGAGGCTGAAACAGACTATGCAGGTACTAGGCTAAGGAGTTTGGACTCTGGGTGGTGGACATGGGGAGCCATGGACGGTTTTGAACAAAGGAGAAAGGATCACAGTGGAGCCTTCACAGATCCATCTCACAGAGATGAACCAAGAATGTCTATTTTTTCCTCTTTTTGTAATCCCTGGGGACAAGGGCTTATGTTTTCCATCTGGTACCTTTTTCATGCTTAACACAGTATTCATTATTTAGGAAGTAGTCCACAAATATATGGTAAATGCATAAACACTCACGTACAGTCTTACATATCCAAAGAAAATGCACAGGAAGTATGGTGACAGACTGGTCAAGCCAAATAAAATGTGAGGCCCCCAACAAATCAAGGTCTTTTTAATAGTCCTTACCTACACTGAGAATGTGGCCACATGCCTTTCCACCCAGGGTGAACAGTTCTGGGCAAGAGTTTTGAAATATCTTTGAGGACCTATTCTGAGTCTCCAGTCACTCATTTCTAAGCAGCTTGAATACTTTGGGGCTAGATATGAGGAGCTAAGTAAGAGGATATGGGAACACAGCCCTGCGGGATTGTGTCCAGGATTCAAAATCCACTACAAATAATACAAAGAAGTTTTCTGCACACAGATGGCTAAGAGTTGGCTATAATATTTTCCTGGTTAAGATGGAATACCAAAGTAAACTTTTTAGATAATTACTTTGCTTTTAAAACAGTACACTGTAATGTTTCCATGTCTGGCAACCCCTCGTGCACAGGCCTTTGGTGGTTCCATCACACACCCCCGCACCGCCCAGACCTACCTGCTGGGCTGCCTCGTGAAAGAGTTCCTGCACTTGGGACATCTGGGCCATTCTTGCGGAAATGGGGGTCCTGGTGGTCTGCATGGGGGGATCCGGCTGGAAGGTGAACAGCATCCTGGGTCAGGAGGGCTCCTCCTCTATCCTTATGGTTCAGAGTGGACTGAAGAAGGGACCTTGTTCTACCTCATCTGGAAACATCTCCTGTGCCTCTTTGGGACCCAAATACACCCCACTCGTCCTTCATAGCCTCCCTGTGCTCAAATCTTGCTGCCCTAAAACCACAGCTGCCCCCAGCTCTCTCTTCCCTGAGCTCCTTCAATATGGGGGTCAGCCAGCTGCCCAGCCCTTGAGGACAGCTTCGCATTCCCTGGCATCCCTGCCATTCCCTTTGTCCGGGGCGAGGGCACCACCTGCTCACTAGAACTGGCTGCAGGTGGTGAGTGAATGTAGCTTGGATGGTGAGCAGAGTGGAAGAGAGGAGGTTAGGAGTTCCCTCTGGGGGGCCCCCTGGAGCAGGGCCAAAAAGGGGCAGGGGAGCATACAGGGCAGGTAAGAAAAAGACAAGCATCATTAGCAGGGCTTGGTTTTCATCAGGCCAGCAGAGGCTTCCCTTCCCTTGGGGCACGGACCTTGCGCCCTGCTGTGGGTGCCAGCCCTCCCCAGCATGGAGCTGGGACACAGGACTCCTGGCATTTTGGAAAGAAGAGGAAACGAGTATGAGATAAGGGCTACAGGGGTAGAGCTTGTCGTACTGTGAGAGGAACAGGACGGATGGCAGCAACCAGCAAAGACGAGGAAGGGAAAACACTGAGGAGTATTCAAAGCAAAGATTTGGGGGGCGGGAGGCAGCGTTTACACACAAAAAAGGCAGGGGAGAGTGCAGCCCTCGGCGGGCTGCGGAGACAGTGGGCTGAGGGAGCGACCCGGGAAGCGTCCCATGCACAGACGGAGAGGGCCCCGCCGCTGGCTCTGGACTTCGCACGCCCCCTCCGTTCGGCCCCTCAGCCTCGGGGAAGGGACCCGAGTGTTACGGAGACCCGTCTCGGGCCAGAGCCCCATGTCCCTCACCTCTCGGTCAGTGGGGAGACCCGCGCCACCTGAGCACCCCACGGACACAAACCCCATACGGAGCAGCCCACGCCGCTCCAGCCGCGGCGCCCATCCCGAGCCGGGGTGCCCTGGGGGCCCCCGGGGGCGCCACTCTGCGCCGGAGGAAAGGCGCGGGCGTGCTCGAGGGCCGGGTGCAGCCGCGCGGACGCACCGCACCAGGTGACCCGGCGGGGAGGGGGGACCAGTACCTTCGCCGGGGCACGGGTGACCCCCGCCCGGCGCCTTGACACAGGACGGAGCTCCTCTGGGAAAGCAGCAGTCCCCGAGACCCCGTGCACACTCCCCACCCTCCACCCCTCCGCCCCTCCGCCCTCACCTGCTCCCAGGCCAGGCGCCCCAGCGCTGGGCCCACCTTGTCCCCGCCCGCCGCCACGTGGCTGGCTGAGCAGGTGTCCCGCGGCCAGGCGGGTCCCGCCCGGGCTCGTCTCCCCAGCCACGCCGGCACCCGCGAGGCCCGAGTGCTGGTGGAGAGTGGGGGCCACCGAGACACCTCCTCCCCGAGGGGGCTCGGCGCCCAGAGCCCGGACAGCCGGACAGGCCCGGGAGGAGGGGGCCGGAATGGCCCGGGGGTGGGGAAGGGGAGGGTCCGCAAGCCCTCAGACCTGTCCTGACCGTTCACCGCCACTACTGCCCTTGACAACGAATTCAGTGTAACCAGCTGACGGTCAGCCCTGGGCAACGGCGGGACAGGACGCCAGCCTCCTCACTGAGCCTGTCTCCCTAAGGCTGCGGGTCGGGTGGGGAACGACGGCCGCCACACGGGTCCCACAGCCCTGGGCAGTTGCAGACGCCTCTAGAAAGAGACTGAACTCGGCGCTTCAGGGTCCCAAAGTGCGGCTGGCTAACCGACCAGGTGACACTCAGACTGGCGTAAGGTGGAATTCGTTTGCCAAGCCAGGGCCCCCAAGCACGGTGAGGTGAGGGGCAGTGCGGGGCTGGGGCTGGGGGTGTCCGCTCAATATCTTCAGCAAGATCCAGAACTGGCTGGAGGGTTGAGGCAATGGTGGTGAAGTACAATTTCCAGGGTCCCAGCTTGCAGGAAAAAACTAAATTAACACAAACGATTTTATTATCTCCATTTCCAATCTGGCACGTTTCCTAAACCTTAAATAACTTGCTAGGCTTCCACGTGGGCTTCTGAGAAACAGGAGGGCAGCTGGGAGTACTTCCCACGCCCACACGAGCCTTTGTGTGAAAATCCCTAAAAATAGAGGTTGTTCTTTTAAAAACAAAAAGGAAGGGAAAGTCATGGGAACAGGGACAGAGCCCCAACCTCTCCTGCTCTAGCAAAGGTTTTTTTTGATGTGGGAAGATATAGAACATAAAATGCGCCATTTTAACCACTTTAAATGTACAATTAAGTGGTATTAATTACACTCACATGTGGTGCAGCCATCACTGCTCTTCCCCAAACCTCTTCACCACCCCAAACAGAAACTCTGTACCCATTAAGCTATAACTCCCCATTCCCCCGACCCTAGCCCTCGGTAACCTCTAATCTGCTTTCTGTCTGTATGAGTTAACTTCTTAAAGGTATTTCATATAAGTGGAATCAGACAATATTTGTCCTTTGTTTTTTACTTACTTCACTTAGCATAATGTCCTCAAGATTCAGCCATGGTGTAGCAGGTTTCATTCTCTGCAAAGAAGTTTTTAACAATCCATCTCTGCAATTTAACCCCAGGATAAATTACAGATTAGCCATCTGTGCACAAAGGATGGACTGGTGCACAGGATTACACAGTCATATTTTTGGAATCCACTATATATACATGTATTACATCCACGTGGCCAGTAGAATCATCTTTATTATTCACTTTGGGGGTCACACTTGATCTTTTCTTTTGCCTCAAGCTAGTTTCCTGTTTGCTGCCACCTTCTGATGAGCTTCCCCCTAAGTGTCAGCGGGAACTTTGAAGAATCCAGTCAATTCGTTATCAGCCTGAGCTAAAAACAGTAGAAAAGGAAATCCACCCCTCTGCTCATACCACCTACTCTCTGTCACTTATCATTTTTTAATAAATGAGAAGTTCCCTTCGAAGCTTGTTAAGTATCTTCTAAACCTAAGAAGAAATGTTTGTTTCTTTCCTTCACATTAAGGCTAGGGAAACCTGCTCATTTGCAAAGAAAAAAAGTGTATCCTGCTTAAGGTAGATTTATCTTATAACAACCGAAACTAACATTAAAAAATACCCCACTAATTGTATTAAAAACAGCATTCTGCATATCTTGTAAACACTTTCTATTTTTAAGATACTACCCTGCATAACCTAGTTTAAGGATGTTTATTTCATCAATTTGTAGTAGTTTTAAAAAGTTACAACCACCTGTTGGATGCTATGACAGCTGGCATTAGAAGAAATTGGAGATTTTTAAATGTACTAACAAGGAACTCTGTTCATAATGAGTAAAAACAGCAAATTGCAGAAAAATGTGTATAGTTTGTTATTTTTTAAAAAGCAGTGCATTTATGAGCCAGGCGGAGAAAGGTAAGTACCAACTGACAACACTCATTTGTGGAGTATAACAACAAAGCAAAACTGAACGAATAAAACAGCAGCAGACTCATAGACTCCAAGAAGGGACTAGTGGTTACCAAAGGGAAGGGGGGTGGGGAGGGTGGGTGGGAAGGAAGGGAGGAGATTAAGGGGCATTATAATTAGCACTCACAATATAGGCAGGTCAGGGGAAAGCAGTATAACACGGAGAAGACAAGTAGTGACTCTATAGCATCTTACTACACTGGACAGTGACTGCAATGGGGTGACAATACGGGTGAATGTTGAAACCACAATCACATCATAAGATTGTTTATCAGTGATACCTTAATTTTTTTAAAAAAAGCAGGGCACATATATGTATAGTTTGTATGGAAAAATACATGTTAATCTGTTGGTAGTGCAATCTCTAGGCAGTGGGATTGAGATAATAAAGTGGGAGTAGAAATCTACTTTGGTATACAAATTACTTTGAAATCTAAAAAAAAAAAAAAAAAGTAAGAAATTAAGACAGTGTGGGACAGATTATATTTTCCAAAGATAGCAGCACTAACATACGCCATCCCATGTGCTCTTCTTGCGGTATGACACTGACATTCCTTCAGAAACAGATGGGGTCTATGCTCCTTTCCCTGGAGCCTGAACAGACCTTTGTGAGTGCCCCAGTCAATAGCAGAAATGGAAAAAAATGACACTGCTTGACTTCTGGTTAGGTGATAAAGGCAGTAGGCAGTCCATCTGGCCTCCTTGTTCTCAGAGCGCTTACCCTTGGAATTCAGCCACCATGTTGTGAGGAAGCCCAGGCCACATAGGGAGGCCACATGTGAGTGTTCCCACCAATAGCGAGCATCAACTGCCAAACCTGTGAGTGAAACAAGCTTTCAGACGATTTCAGTCCCCAGCCTTAGATTCTTGTAGTTGACATCCCAGACACTGGAGAGCAAAGAAAAGCTGTCCTTGCTCAGCTGTCTGAATTCCTGACCACAGAAACCACGAGAGATATTAATTATTGCTGCGTTAAGCCACTAAGTTTTGGGGTTATTCAGCAACAGACAGTGGATACCTAGTACATCCAAAGAAGGTAAAGAAATGATTTTCTTCCCCTTTAACAGTTTTTTCATTTCATTGTTTGATTCAGTTATTGTAGCCCTGTTACATTAAAAAAATCGCATTATGGTTTAAAACTCACCTTTTGTCCATTCAGTAACAACTTCAGCTCTCGCTGAAGCCCACAATAGTGAGGTCATGGTTTCTGTGGATCTCAGCCTGCTCAGCTTGCAGACAGAAGCTCCTTTTCCTCTCTCCCTTCCAGTGGTTAGTGCTGAGCACTGCCTTCTGTGTGAAAGTGGGAGAAGAGACCATGCTGTGAAAAACGACCTCATTTATCAGCAAGTATGAACCCTGGGGAGGGATAAGGGCTTGGAAAAAGTCAACCAAAACAAACGTGAAAACAAGTGGAAAACATTAAATCATGTTGTAAACAGGTATATATACAAAATCATCTCAGAGCCTTGTTCATGCTGGAACCAGAGTGCGAAGGGCTGCAAGAAGTGAGTCAGCTAGTCTGGCGGTCCCTCTCCCCAGGCTGTACTTCACAGTCTCCGGGTGTGGTGTCAGAAAGCACCAATACCTGGCTCTAGGGTGGGGCATGGGCATCAGTATTTTCAAATTCCCCAGGTGATTCCAACGTGAAGCCAAGGTTGAAAACCATGGAATTTCTAGCTCAGTAGTTTTGTTCCCCCCCGCCCCGACCCTCTCCAAAACACCTGAATGAGGTAACATATCCTGGCCGCAGTGTTTTACTCGGTATAATTTTCAATGACAAGGAAAAGGTGTGAAATACACCACTCCAGGAGCTCAGGTAATTTTCTCTCTATACATTTCTTTTTGATTGGTCATTGTGATGCACCTTCCTGGGGCATGCCTACCTATATTAAAAATCACAGGAATTCTGCACACACACTCAGGAGTTTGCTGGCTCTGAGGGTGGAGTCAGGATTTGAACCTAGGTCTGGCTGCAGTACCAGGCTCTCTACACAGTGCAGCCTCTCTAATCCAGGTGAAGAGATAAGGCAGAAAAAAGTTTTCCTTCTCCCTGGACTTTGAAATGTGTTTCCAACAGTCCCAGATGCAAGAAGAAGTCTGTCAGACATTGTTGGGAGTTGGAATGGGAGGACCTAAGAAATGCAAACCCTGCAGAAGTACAAGCCCTCCCAACAGCCTCCCAATGGAGAATTCCTATTCCCAGAGGTAGGGCAGGACTCCAGGATGAGTGGTTTCTTGGGGTAGGGCTGATGGACAGGGAGGGGCTGTGACCATCCTGCTCTCAGGTGTCCCTAGCTCCTGTTGAGCAGGTTTCTCCTCCAGGATCTATTTGTTGATTCTGGGGGTTTGCCTTTTGACAAGAGAAAGGCATTCTCTATCAGCCACCTGGCATCAGGCGTGTGCCAGGACGTGATGGGCCCAAGAGGACACATGTGATGCAGACAGACAGCTAGTGAACAGGATCCAGTTTATTTTATGAATGACTGGGGCAGTCTTACTGGATTGTGACAATGGTACAAGTAGCATTCAGCATTTGCTTAAATCTATACAGAAGACCCAAGGACAGACCTTCAAGAGTCTAGA